GCTGCCAACATACAACAACGTTTTTTTAAGAATTTATACGAGTGGTATCTATGTTTTAATTAATTATTTTATGTTCATTTTAACTTATTTGCCACACCACTACATATAAGAAGTTTTGAAAACTTTGGTTTTTAAACACCTACCACTCTATTTAATATTTTTCAAAAATTGTAGTAGTTGGCTGACCTGCATAGATATATATAATTAATCATATTGAGTAATAGACAAAATTCTTTTAATATCATATTTATTGAATTTATAATAAATTACCTTAGCTACCACTGAGAAAAACATTTTCTAATACTACGAAAATTTCGTAGTAGTTAAAGAGTGTGATAAGTTGTTTAAAAATGAGTCTAAAATTTCTTGAAACCGAAAAGTTAACAGCGAAAATATTATTTTTGTTTGATGGGTACGAAACATAATAAAAAGCATGTCAGTTTCCCAGGTAGTCATTCAATTTCATAATTTCTATGTTTTTATTTTGAGCTCCGCACTTTTTAAAACGTGTACCATTATAAAATTCTTCTGCTAGGAGTTATGAAATACATATAACTGTTTTTCAGATGGGTCACAGCTCCTGCGGTTGTTAATGCGTTCTATACGAGGTCGAAAAATTTTATAAGTGAGTACATTTACATTTCCTTTACGAAAAGCTTTGAAGACTCCTAATGAAATAATTTTTAATTATTTTTTTTTCAGCGTTCCCTGCTGGGATACTACAGCCTCCTCTGTATCATCAAAATTATATTAGGTAATTTAAATTCATAATTTCTTTTACTCATTGGCAAAATGGGTGTTGTTTTGGGTTTGATGGCGTGCTCACCTTATTTGGACAACATCACACTTTTCAACTGTGTTCAAGAGTAATAGTAAACAGTGCGCATGCGTCATCATTGCATGCGTTGCTATGGCGACCGCTGCTGTTTGATAATTTTTTTTTTAGAATTCTTTTTTTTTTTCACTTTTAATTTTGTTATGAGTTGGTGAGTTTATTTTTGAGGTATGGGACCAGAGAGATCCCATAAATACTTCTTGAGTTGCGAGAAGAAAAAAATTAGACAACAACCATTTTGCCAATGGGTAACCTGTGATCACCTTTCTGCGATTAAAGTTTTTTTAAAAATTGATTTTGAAATTAAAGAAATTACAATATTGAACTGTTTCTCTTAGATCTAAATAACTGCAAATAAGCGCAAATTACTTTTTTCGTAATCTCATGTAATTAAAATAGATCATGTAACAAGTCGTGATAGCATTTATTTAATACCTCTATAAGAAAAAACTCCGCAGTTTATCGTTTTTGAAATATATGTCTTTATAAAGAGATTTAGCACTTTCACACAGCACCCTTCACGCTCCCGTGAGTATATTCTCACGATGCTCCGTAAAAAACAAACAAAAAACAGATAATGTATGTATTAATTACTATGAGTAGAACATACGTACGAGAAAAAAAGGAGGTGCACGTGAAATCGCTAAATCTCTCTAGTTGTACTATGAATTGCTGCTATACTACTTTTTAGGATTGCTACAGTCTAAACATTTGAAACGGAATTACTAATGTTTCATAAGAATGCTGGAAATTTTATGTGTTAGAATTTTAATTTAATTTTAGGAATTAAGTTTAAGTGTTTTTCAATGTAGATATATTTCGTTAAAAATACAAATATTTTTTTAATCGTTACTAATTCGTTAAAATGCTCCTCTAAATTTTTATTTTCGTACTTGAGTTTGCTAAAATGCTCAATGTATTAAAATGATCTTGTTTTATCAAACGCTCTCAAAACACGAAATCCAAATTTTCTACATAAATATAATAAAAAAAGATGATTGATTTGATTTTGATCAACGGTATATAGAAAAATAATGCATGCAAACAGGGTGTTTTGTAATGACTGCCTTTAACACGTCTTTTTAGAATTCTTGTCAAAAATGTCAATATACTTTTAGGATATCAATTTGGCATAATAAACGGGGGGGGGGAGCTATGGAAATCTTTTTGAGGAAGAGAAAACTGAAAATAATCTGAAAAACAAATTAAATCTCCGGAAATCAAAACATGTTTGATGTCAGCAGTGGCCCCCATCCCCCCAAGCTCTTGGGCGCATTCATCCCCCCCCCCGAAAAAAAATTGCTAACTTCCCCCTTCCATGTTATCTTGTTCGAAATAGTGCTACGTTGCTTCTTTTATTTATGTACATAAAAGAAGAAAAAATTCTCTCGTCTAAATCCCCCCAAACTATTCGTTTTATTTAGTGTAAAAATTCCGCCCCCCCCCCAAGCTTTAAATGGGTGTATCGTGCGTCCACCTTCCCTCCTGATTGGGGCCCCTGGATGTCAGTAGAAAAGCTCAGGAAAAAGTAAGACATATAAAGGCAGTTATTAAAAATACCTCTGAGTTTAATAAGGCTACCAAAATGATTTTAAAATTTTCAATCCCGCCTTACTCAGAAGTAATTCGTTAGATATCGATTCTTTCCTTCATTAAAATATTAATTTGAAATTCTTCAAGTATGTACTTTTTACTTCATTTTTTTAAAAAAATTTTTTAAAATAAATTAAAAATGGCCATTACGGAGTATTTTATCTGTTTGGAAAATTATTTTTAACTTGAGGTACTTTAACTATCTTTTTTTCTCAGAGAATTATGTGTTTCCTGAGTAACGAGCCCTAAATTAATTCATTGAAATATTTTCTTGTTTATATTGCAGATCTTTGAACTATGGAGGCATTGGAGTCGTAATTGGGCACGAAATCACACACGGCTTCGACGATAAAGGTATTATTTAAGACGAATTTATACGTTCTGTTTTTTTAACTGAATGACTCGTTGAGATGCAGTGCTAAGGCTTTCCTTTTTAAAAGATTTTCTAATTAATTGAAAGAATATATTAAATTTTCTTGCTATATTAATCGAAGTGAGTACTATGGAATTCAAGACTAAGAATTACTAATGCCACTGACTGCCAAAGTCACAAAAAATGGAGTCGTTTCTAGATCAGTGTACGCTTAGCACCAGATTTGTTTCTTCAATATATTCTTTTGAAGAAAAAATGGATTTATTAGATTTAATTCAGCTTTGTTTTATTTTATTATTTTTTGTTAAAAATACACTGGTTATCATAAATTAAGGAAAATTCACAAAAATCGCGATAACTCAAGAAATTACACATGGAATTTTATGAAACTTACCCACAATATACAACACATAGTAAGGTATTAAACAACATAAAAAGAAATTATCAGACATTAATAGTAGTATAGAAATTAGCACATGTATAAAATAAACAAATTGGAAGTATCGGTTTGCAATAGAAAAAGTACCTTTAATATGGAATATGATTGCCTCTAGAAGCAATACAGCACAAACAGCGATGTGTGATGCTTTCAATTATGCGGTCTATCAGTTCAATAGGAAGTGAGAGCCATTGCTCTTG